CTAATTGCAGGTGTGGAAAAACACAACAGCTGTTCTCCCAAGTCTGCTGCTTGCTCGACTGAACATCAGTGTGCAATAATTAGCTGTAATGCCTCTAATCTTGTCAGCACAACAGCAAAAATACTTTATTGTATCTGTCGTTTGGGGAAGCTTGTGGTTTTACGTGAAAAAAGTATAACAAGACTTAAAAATGCTATATTAAAATAAAATGTTTGCTTCTTTTTTATTTGAAACATGCACGGCACAGCAGAGCAATGGTTAGAGCTGTCGCTTCTCAACAAGAAGTTTGCAGGATCACCTCCCAGCCAGAGGCCTTTCTGGGCAGAGTTTTCATGTTCTCCTATTGCATATGTGGGCTTTCTCCAGGTAGTTGAATTTTCCTCTCACAGACTAAAAACGTGCATGTTAACAGTTTTTTGTCTCATTTGTCTCAATGTGACCATGTACAGTAATGGACTTGTGACAGTACAGTGTGTCTCTTGCACAGTGATGGCTGGACATAGGCACCAGCTTCCCACAACTCAAACAGGGAATGCAGGTAAATAAATGGATGCATTTGAAACATTCCTCTTAATGTGTTCTTTGAACCATAAATCCTACACATTTAGTGAAAAAAAAACCCAACCTGAAATTTCAAATATGAAAGTTATTAGGCTGTAAAATTTAGCTGGTTTATGCTGATACTATCATCAAAACTACTGATTTTATCAAAAATCCTTATATACAAGGACTACTTTGCTTCTCTGTCCTTCAACTACCGGTAGTACCGGTAGTAGTTCATGGTCATACTAAATGTGTCCTAATATATGCTCAGTGCCCTGAGATAACTGTTTTTAACCATATAATATATATATATATATATATATATATATATATATGTATATGTGTGTATATATATGTATATATATATGTGTGTGTCTGTATGTGGGTGTATATTTCTGATATAAAAAAAAAGAATACATGTAGTATATTTATGAGTCCTCGAGGCTCAATGAGACTAACCTGTATAAATAAAGGTTGAATGAATATTTGAATCTGAAGCCAAAACAACAGAAAACATGACTCCTATCAGTCAAATTTCAAGGTTCCTGCTCAATAATCCAGGAAAAAAAATCCAACAAAGATCAGTCAGGTCATCTGGACAGTTTTTTTTTTTTTGTGGAGACGTTTCATCCTTCATCCAAAGGACTTCATCAGTCCAAGGAGCCACAACAAACTCAGTCCTACAACCATTACGGTTTCCAAAACAGAAGCCGTCCAGATGACCTTACTGAACTTTGTTGGATTTTCGACCTGGATTATTGAGCAGGAACTTTGATGTTTTGAACCACTTTGGTTATGGCTGCCTCAGAGGAGTCGACGGGGGAGTGGGCCAGCCCCAGAAACCATCTTATCACCAGCAAACTGGTTGATCCACAATGCAAGTGTGCCGCTTGTTGGACTGAGTTTGTCGTGGCTTCTCGGACTGATGAAGTCCTTTGGATGAAGGATGAAACATATAAAAAATAAAAAAAAGTTCAGATGACCTAACTGAACTTTGTTGGACCAGTCAAATTAGTATTCAATACCTACAGTCTTGTTTTTACAGTGATCTGGATATCAACTTAGGATTGATTAGAATTTAATATTGTTACACTCTATAACCACGCTACAATCATTTAGCCTCAGCTGACATATTACTGAGAGGACGAATTATGCTCTCGACTCTTTGCCAAGGTCACCAACTTTGATCACTAATATGAGAAGCTCTGAGTTCCTCCAAGCCAGATGGAGGAAGTGTAGCACTGCTTCAGTCTGGCTGATCAGCTGCACCAGTCCCCTTTGCTACCCCCATGCCACTCTCATCCCTTTCCTCTCTCTTCAGTGATCACAGCAGTGCTGCAGAGAGACATGCCAGCCACTCTGATCGTCACACCGGGGGTGGGGAAAGACACAGGAACACCACATGCAGACGCATGTAGGAAACTGAAGCTGATGTTAAAAGATTAGAAATGTATTTATTAGATGATTGGACATTGGCTAAGACAGCAAAATAGAAAGAACCTGAAGACAGATGATAATATTAAAATAATTAATCTGTAATCTGTTTTTAGACAGATAGGAGTAATTTAGATAAATGACTAAAGATTGTTGTAGTTGTCATATTACCTCATTTCATTACACTTAACATTGTTTATTTTGTTGTTGTTGTCACCAGATTGGCAACTGACAAAATGTCTGATGCACCTGTTGACTAGTAAACCCACAAAAGCCCTGGAACTATGCTGACATAATATATCAAAGTTCATGCTAAATAATCCAGGTAAAAACACAACAAAGTTCAGTCAGGTCATCTGGACTGTTTCTTTTTTTGTTTGTTTGTTTTGTTGAGACATTTCTTCCTTCATCCAAAGGACTTCATCAGTCCTAGGAGCCACAAACAAACTCAGTCCCACAAGCAGCACACTCACATAGTAGACCAAACAGTTTGTTGGTAATAAGATGGTTCCTAGGGCCCACCATCTCCCCCATCAAGTCCTCTGAGGCAGCCATGGCCAAAGTGGTTCAAAACATCAAAGTTCATGCTCAATAATCCATGTAAAAAAATCCATCAAAGTTCAGTCAGGTCATCTGGACGTTTTTTTTTGTTACCATCTTATCACTAGTAAACTGGTCAGTCCACTATGTGGGTGTGCTGCTTGTGGGACCGAGTTCGTTTGTGGCTCCTCGTACTGATGAAGTTCTTTGGATGAAGGATAAAACATCTAAACAAACATCCATCCATTATCTTTACCCGCTTATTCCATTTTGGGTCACGGGGGTCGCCGGTGCCCATGTCCAGCAATCACTGTGCGAGGGGCGGGGTACACCCTGGACGGGTCGCAAGTCCATCACAGGGACACATAGACAAACAAGACAACCAACCATTCACTCTGTCACTCACCTAGGGACAATTTAGAGTTACCAATTTACCAATCAGCCTAACATGCATGTTTTTGGTCTGTGGGAGGAAACCGAAGTACCTGGAGAAAACCCACGCATGCACGGAGAGAACATGCAAACTCCACCCAGAAAGGCCCCTGGACTGGGGTTTGAACCAAGGACCTGCTCGCTGAGATGCAGCAGCTCTACCAGTTGCGCCACCGTGCTGCCCTTCTAAACAAACAAACAAACAAATAAACAAACAAACAAAAAAGAAACCTTCCAGATGACCTGATTGAACTCTGTTGGATATTTTTTCCGGATTATTGGACAACAGCTTTGATGTTTTGAACCACTTCGGCTATGGCTGCCTCAGAGGAATTGACGGGAGAGAGGGCGGACCCCAGAAACCATCTCATCATCAGCAAACTGGTTGGTTCACTATGTGAGTGTGCTGCTTGTGGGACTGGGTTTGTTTCTGGCTCCCCAGACTGATGAAGTACTTTGGATGAAGGACAAAATGTCTCAACAAAAAAAAGAAACCATCCAGCTGAGCTGACAGACCTTTGACATAATATGTTTTGTTTCAGACTTTGGTTTGCTTTTGATCTGTTTCCGTCTTGATTTCTACATTGATAACTTACATCTCACCATCTTTTCTCTTCAGTCAATGCTAATAAAACATAGATGCTGTGCAAATAAAATTATAGTCATGCAGACTATATGGACTTGTGGTTCAAAACCATGAAAAGAACCACCTTGGCTAGAAACACCGGATTTGCATCTCCACAGAAATTTAACCACCAAAATATAAAACCCATGATGATTACAAAATAAATTCACATTAATCGTAATATAATTTACTTGCAGCTGTTTTTCAATGTTCAGAGCCCTGTTTCAATGGTTGCACACGTTGTCTTAATATTCAGTCATTTCTGTGTTGCTATAGTTTTGCTTAAAATGGAAGAAATGACGGTGTTTCTTTATGCATTTTTTTCCTTTGCTTTAGTCTCTTCTTTGTGCGTTCCAGCCGCAGCATACAAACAATACACACTTATTCAGCTCCCTACAGGGAGAGGGGTGGATTTTTTTTATTCGTCATCAGGACTTGATGCATCCAAGTTCAGAATCATTCATTTTTGGCACCCTAAAAGATAGTAGACTCTTTTGTTTAAAATTTCATATACTCTCATTTACAACAACACAACAAGAAACCAAAGAGCAAGAAAAGAAAAAAAAAAAAAAAGACTAAGGCTGTGTTTGCGATTAACTGACTTTAAAATTAAAATAAAACAAAAAGGCAAAAAAATCGCTTTAAAAATAGCCTTGATACATTTCCCAAAGTTTGTTTGTGTTTCAATCATAGTTAAGCCCCACTCCATTTCCCCGTCACCCCCCCGAACAGGAAGAAAATTGAAGAGACACAGTACTGCAACATTAATTTCTATGCGCCCACTGCCATTACATGGTATCATTGTTTAGTTGTTCAAAAACATTGGTTTCTTAAAAGCAGGTTTGATGATTTTGATCAGCATGCATGTAAATTGTTCAAATTTTTTTGGAGTCACTTCACTTCAGCTCGTTGGTAACCGTTTTCTCTCACGCACTACTTTGTGTTTTTGGCAGTAGTGGTGTTTCATTGTCCACAGTCATTTTCAAGTTTGCAGAGAGATTATTCCTTATCGAGAGTTCTTAAGTCCTTCTGCCACCTTTATGGGGCAAAACAAAACCAATAAATAAAACAAACAAACAAATAAATAAATAAACAGTTAACCCTGGTAACTCTGAACAAATATGGCTGCCAGGGTTGTTGAACTGCCATTTTTTTCCCCATTGTTAAAAAAAAATCTGATAATATATCTATTACTAATCAATATCAGTTTATCAAGTAGGCTTTGCCGACAGATGAGCCAGTCATGCTGAATCCTCCATCTTGGTTTAGTTTCCCGCAATGACTAGATTTAATTTAACTATAGCAAGTAACTCCCAAATGACTTAATGTCTTTTTTTTTTTTGGTGTTGACATTTTTTGCACCAGGAAAGTCTAGTCATGATATATTAACATATATATTTATATATAATCAATACATTAAATAACTTCTGGGTTATTTTTTTCCTGTTTTTGTTTTAATGTTTTTTTTTTTCTTTGTATTGACTTTTTTTGCGGACTGGATTGCTTCCTGCATGAATCCCACACCGCATTGATTCACAGTATTAATGCAATTAAAGACTGAAATATAAATGATACCGAACTAAACAAAGGGAGTAAGGGTGTTTATGGTATGTGTGTGTGTATATGTGTGTGTGTGTTGCAGGACATGTGTTATCATAGTGCAAGGGCAGGTTTAGCTGGGCCAAGGAGCAAACTGTACCACTCTTTGTACAGACTGAGAAAACCTAAAATAAAAATGTAAGTTCACCTTTGAGAAGGCAGTCTGGCCCAGCCCACCGCTCCAGAGATCCAGTCCTGAGACAGCCACCCGCACCCACCGAATGCCCCCCTCCTGATTCATGAAACTCCTCAAATATATTAAAACTTGTCAAACAATGGCTCATGGGAAAATCATGCACGTTTCTTTTTTAGGCGTTTTTACTCTATTTTCATTTTTGTTCCTTCATTTCTTTTGGTTTCAGACAGAAATTTAATGATGATCTAATTTTGCTCAGAATCTTCTGTCACTTTGCAATCACTCTTCAATCCATCCAGCCATGACTTCTCTTCTTTAGCTCTTTTATGCAATAATCAATCTTTAAGTGCTTTTCACAGATACTCCCCCCTAATTTTTTCAGAGTCTATGGTCCGTTTCTGTTTCATACTGGTGTAGTGCGCCGATTGGCGGTGTTACTGTGGCCTCCTGAGTCTTTGAGGTCCTTCGAAACGCAGTTGTGGACCTGTAGGAAGTTGTGGTCCCTCTCTGTGGAGTTATAGGTAGCTGTCGGCGTGCCCGTTTGGCCCTTGGGCAGTGTATACATAGACAGCTCAGTGGAAGGCAGTGTCCCGAAGGCTTTCAGGCCCACTGGAGATGCCTCGCGAGATTGCGAGGGATCCGTGGAGCGGGATGAAGAACGCGAGCGGCGTCGATAGCGGTAACGGTAGCTTGGTATACGTGTGATGGCCGCACCTTGGAGGTAGTCTGCAGCTCGCGCTCCCACTCGAAGCTCCCTATGCCGGTCGATGAACATGTGCACTGCTAACACACCCACCATTTCAGCCATGATGAAGGAGAGGGCACCAAAGTAGAAGGACCAGCCGTAAGAGTAGCTGTTCTTCTTGGAGTCGCTCTTAGAAGGATCACCGGCGTTGGCTGATATATACACAATGATTCCTATAATGTTGCTCAGGCCTGAAAAGAAAAGGTAGAAGAAATAATAATAATTAAAATTAATAATGCTGAATGAATAGCAGGTTTATGTAAAATGCAAATAAAATGATCCCAATGTGTGTTGATGTATTTAAACTTTAGATAAAGAGAAGCATATGGGTATGAGTGACCAATAACTTTGTTTCATAAAATATAAGGCAAGCAAATTTATATGTATTCAATAAAAAATGAAAATGAATTAATCTATTGTACAATTGAATGCCTCAAAATGGGATTAAAAAAAAAAACCTTGCATTTAATAACTATCATCGTTGAACCCATATTAACTCGCAATGTATGTCGTTTTTTTCCTGAACTTCAGATAATATTGGAATACTGGTTCAGTCAATTTAAGAAAATTCTTTCCAGATACATTTTCGTAGTAACTATTATGTGCACAATTGATAAAAACAAACAAACAAAAATAAAAGCAAGCACTTGACCTTTATACCTGCTCATTAACCAATTGCAACTGGTTGAACCCAACATTCTTTTGTTCTACTCAAATATTTAAGTTGCTTTTGTGTAAAAGCAACTTTGCCACAATATATTGTGGTCAGATTTGATTAGATTATTGTGATAATGTTGTGAACTGAAACACTTTTGACCTGTGCAGAATGAATAATTGTGCATGTTCAAACACAGACTGACTTAGAACTTGTTAATACAAATAAAAACACTATGCATCAATCAACAATAGCTTTTTATCCTTTATATGAAAGGAAGTAGAAAAATTCATGAATCAGTATATCATGGATTTATTGGACAATCCACATACTTTTAATAACTTCATTCCACTCCAAATGAAGCCTTTTTTTAATTTTCAAAGTGTAGCAATATGGGGTGTAAATTATATTTTGATTAGTTATGAGTTAAGGTCATAAATTATGCATGTATTATGCAAATAACCTCGTTGTTTGGGCACCACCTCTCTCTTAGAGAGAAAAATCAGTCTCTATTTACCCCCAAATAATGTAAAATTAATGTGAAGCCTTTTTCTCGTGTTTAAATAATATCAAATCAATTAATACACACATACGCCAAAATAATCACTTAATCAGCTGATTTTCATGTATTTCATTATAAAAAAATAATAATCTGTGATATATATGGTGAAATAGGTATACGCATGACAAAAAGTTAGCCAAATATCAAATGACTTTGAATCAAAAGTTAATTGATTATTAAAATGAGTGAAACTTTAAAAGCAGATTAGGACTGGTTTATTTCTAAGGTGAACTCTGTTTAAGTTTAATGTGCAATTACTGTGATGTAGGGTCACCAGCAAACAGATGAAACCATGAGAGTTGTCCAGTTTGAACAGCCTCTGGGGATACCAGGAAGGTCTCCCGAGTTACCTCGGCTATGGAAGACCGTAATCCTCCCTCTGGACCTGGTTCTGATGGATAACTGTTCTGAATTGATTAGTTGTTCATGCTGGGAAGGTGGCTGGCTCTGATCAATGCCAGCCCGGTTCTGGTTCTGGTCAGGTGCTGGGTTCTGTAAACTCCACATTTTCTTTTCATCTCTCGTTTCTCTTGAGACGTCTGCAGAAGGTGCTTCTCCTCAATTCTCTTTCTTCCTAGGATGTCTCTCTGGGAGGATGTGTCTTTCTCTGAAGTTTTCTTCAAGTCAAGTGGAAAGGTGCTTCTTCTCTCTCAAATCTCTGAGGTCAAGTGTAAAGTGAAACTTTGAAGTTTTTCTAAAAGTGAAACTTAACTGTCTGTGTTAAAACAGAGATGATTGGTCCACCTCTCAAGGAAAACGTGGTACTAACCCTTGGTCTTGTTTTTCATAAGGGCCTTATCAAATAAATCTGAAGTCCTTGTTCTGCCTCAAAAGTTTGCTTCTAATCTATACAAGACAAAGTTGTATTATCTTAAAGAAAGATTACTTAAGACACACATTTCTCATGAATAAACATTCAGTTATGGAATGAAACAGAAATAACATCTTTGGATTAATATTCAAATAACATGCAGGCTAAAGGGGTGCTGTTGCACTGTCCATGTCTTTCTTCACAAACAAAAGGGTTCTTATGGTGTTATGTTCATGGGAACGAGAGTCTGGGAGTATTCTATAAGACAAGATATCAACATTGTGAGTTTTTCGGATGGTTCAAAAACTCCAAAGTCAGTTGAACAAAGCCTCTTTAAAAAATGATCTCTCAGTTTCATGGGAAATGAGTTCATATTGGGTTAGTGAGGTTAACACAATAACAGTTTTTTTTTATTACATTAGTGTCAACTTAGAAAGTTTGTGAGCTGAGCCGAATATTTGTAAAATCATGTCTGTTCATTCCCAAGGAATAGATTAATTTTATTTTAATAGTTTCAAAGACAAAACACAGGAATGATAATAATGTCATCACATTGTCAGCACTCCATACAATTGCGAAATTGGTCTTTGCATTTAACCCATACACCACCAGGTGGTGCAGTGGGCAGCTATTGAACGCGCCCAGGGGGCATTTGGGGGATGAGGTGTGCTGCCCAGAGACACCACAAGGTATGCAGTGAACGGGGATCGAACTTGGGACTTTTGGGTCCCGAGCCGGCTGCCCTGCCTTTACACCATCTCGTCCCCCATAAATGATGTTTGTCAAAGTAAGATGAACTCTTTCTGAGGTGAGATGTTCCCCTACAAAAGTTCACATTTTGAAGCTACACAACGAAGCCACATTGAACATTGTGGGAAGAAATACTATTTTGAGAAAAAAAAATATATAAGTGGGTACATATGTTCAGAATGTAATAAACTGATAAACATTATTACAGTATTCCCTCATTTATCACGGGGGAACCATACCCTGAAGCCCCACGATAAGTGAAAAACCGCAAAGTAGTAGTTTATTTTTGTATTTATATATATATTAAGGCATTTTAAACTCTTCCCACACTCTAGCTATATTCTAAACACAATGTTTCTAAACTCTAAATGCTCTAACAGAGCACAGAACGTCATGATTTCAGCTCTCTGCCTCCAGCTGCACTCTGTCTCCTGCGCTCTTAGCCACGCCCACCTCTCCGCTGCACAGCGGAGATGCATGAAGAAGCTTCTCCTGCAGCTTGGGCTGCACACTGGTGCAGGAGGAAACTTTTTTCTGTAGTTGTGGGCTGCACACGTGCTAAATAATTTAAAACAATTTATTTAAAAGAAAAATCCCATGCCGATTGGGCAGCTCATCCATCACTCAGCCAATTGTGTGTCCAATCTTACTTTGAAAAATCACGATAGAGCGAGTCTGTGAATTAGCGAGGGACTAGTGTATTCATAACATTTCAGTAGTTGGATGAAACTGTGGCTGCGTTTAGGAAGCCAAATACGAATAAACAAAAATATAGTTCATTAAGATAATGACAGACACTTTGTTTTTTCACCACGAAGGCCTCATTGAAATAGATTTGAGCAAATGAGTAACAGGGACACCTTATTTTTAGAGTGTAATCCCAGAGGCATCCCCTCAGCCTAGCAACAGGCAGAGAGAGAGAGACAGACACATCACAAAAAGAGAAAGAGAAACGGCAAACTCCGTCTCTCACTATGTTTTGGAGGGGAACTAGTTATCTAGCTCAGCACAGTAGGCCATGGCCTAGAACCACAGCCTACATGCACACTCAGAAACAAAAAAAAAATGGTTTGCTAAAATGTCAACCCTAGCTTTGTCTCCCTTGATTCATCCTCGGGCAGTTGTTGTACTGTATGCCACCCAAGCAACACATCATCTGCTGATAAGACAAGCACTGTCACTAGCATGTCATTTGGACTTGGTGGTTGGCGCAGTGATAAAACGGGTCAAATCCATTCCACCTCTTCTCTCTGTCCCTGAACCCTGCAGGTATAAAGGTGTCTTATTTCTGATGGGATGTAGGGGGAGAGTGGAGTAGTGATATCCAGCACTTCAAGCAGATTTTTCAGAGGAATACTTTGGAGAGGATCGAGGAAAAAAACTTACAAAAAATTGCCAATATTTAAATAGTAACATATTGTCACAACAGTAATTTCTTTTTTTAATGGTTTTAAAATTGTAAAAATAACATGGTGTTTTTCAGTTGAAATAGTTTTACTGTCACAGCCACCATTACAGTGCTCAGTTTGATGTATTCTGACCACACGTTTGGTGTCATTGTCGATTTCCCTTAACACATATTAAAAGTTAGCATTGCATGTCAAAGTCTACTGCAAGCTAGAAAGATAAGTAGTTACACAAACTAAATGTGGGGGAGGGGGGCAGCACGATGGCGCAGGTGGTAGAGCTGCTGCCTCCCAGCGAGTGGGTCGCCCCAGTTCAAATCCAGGCCGGGGGCCCTTCTTGGTGGAGTTTTCATGTTCTCTTCGTCGTGTGTATGTGTGGGTTTTCTCCAGTTTCCTTCCACAGACCAAAAACATGCATGTTAGGCTGATTGGTAACTTTAAATTGTCCCTAGGTGTGAGTGAGAGAGTGAATTGTTGCTTGTCTCTTTTGTCTTTATGTGTCCCTGTGATGGACTGGAGACATGTCCAGGGTGTCCCCCGCCTCTCGCACAGTGACTGCTGGACATGGGCACCAGTGACCCCCGTGACCCGAAAAGGAAGAAGCGGATATGGATGGATGGACGGAACCTAAATGGGTATATAGTAGTCCCTCGCTACTTTGCGGTTTGTTTTTCGCGGACTCTCTCTCTATCGTGTTTTTATCAAAATAAGATTGGACATGACACACAATTGGCTGATTGTTGGATGAGCCGCACAATCAGCATGGAATTTTTATTCAAAATGAATTATTTTAAATTATTTAGCACTTGCTGCACCTGTGTGCAGCCCACAATGCAGGAGAAACTTCCTCCTCCGTCGATCTCCGTTCTGCAGCAGAGAAGTGGGCATGGCCGAGAGCACAGAGTGCACCTGTAGTACAGTGTGGAAATCATGACATTCTGTGCTCTTTTAGCTCTTTTAGAGCGTTTTAGAAACATTGTTTAGAATATTGCAAGAGTGTGGGAAGGGTTTAAAACGCACAGGAGGACTTTAACAAGAATTTAATAAGATTAATGCTTAAAAACAATTATTTGTTTGCTTGAAATTATAGTAAAGGTGTGTCTCTGTCTAACTTTTCCTTAATAGATGCACTTTGATGGTCAAATCAGCTGTATTTCAAAAGCCGATACGCAGAAGTAGACGTGTGCACAGGAGGATTTGCTGTCCATTTCTTCAAAATTTAACAAGATAACCGCATATAAACAATTATTTGTTTGCTTGAAATTATAGCAACGGTGTGTCTCAGTTTAACTTTTACCTAATAAATGCACTTTGACCATCAAATCAGCAGCATTTTCCAAAGTATCCAAAGCCTTGGTGCTCCTGGAGCGCGCTCTGAGGGAGGAAATCAGGAAGGCGGAATGCTGCATATTTCTTCGAAATCTGACAATATAAGCACCTAAAACAATTATTTGTTTGCTTGACTTTATAGTAAAGGTGTATCTTACTTGAACTTTTACTTAATAAATGCACTTCAATGGTCAAATTAGCTGCGTTTTGCCAGGGCGGCGCAGAGAAATGAAGCTGATTTGATGGTTGCTCCAGGCAAACTGGACGATGGTGGCAGTCTATGGCAAGCCGATTGTGTCATTAATAGCTACCTTTACCTATTGCATGACACAACGGCATGCCATACTACTTGAGTGCCATCTAGCGACTGAAAATGGTAGTGTTCAATATTTTCCGTCAGAATGAATGAAAATGATCATATCTCAGCCAAAAATTTTTTATAAATATGGGGAAAAAATCCATAAATACTGTATGTCGCTTATGCGTATAAGTTGCAGGCATGCAAATTATGCAAAAAACTGCTAATGACTAATAGGCCGAAAAATACTGTACTTACTACTTGTACTATTATTCCTACTTCACGGTTTTTCACTTATCGCGGAGCTTCAGGGTACGGATCCCCGCGATAAACGCGGGACTACTGTATTGAATTTTTGTTTGTTTATGCAATGACAGATGATATGTTAGCTTTTCGAAGGAGTATCCCATTTTGTAGTGGAATTCTTAAACCTCTTGTCACCAAATTAAAAGCTAGCGGGTTGGGCTAACATTAAGGAAAGGGATTCATCCAACAACCTCCCTCACTTTGTTATGTATGGTTCAGCTTTGCCTCATTAGGATGCTGTAATTTTTATACTGGAGAAATACTTCTATGATATTCTTAATTATGAACCCAGTGTGAGGATATTATAAATTTGTTTCTGTTTTTGGTCTCTTTTTGCTCAAAATGTTGTTTATTGTTTTTGTAATTTCTAGTTTTGAAGTCTTTTTAAGTCATATACTACTTTTATTCAGGTGGCCAGAACCATCCACAGTGATCTGCAGGTTGTGTAATACTGGTCACTAATGCATTACCATTCAGAGATGTATGTGTTGCCCTTACTTATAATTTTCTATCAGACTCCATCCATTACTTTGACATTATCACAAAGAAGAAGCTTGACTGAACAGACTTGGTGTTCTGCACATGCACTTCATCATTTTTGCTCTTCCCTGCTGTCAGCTCACATTAGTCCTTTCACTTATCACCACTCATCTTCTCTTTCAAATTCCCATCGTTTCTTTATATTCCTTTTGCTTGTTTTACCTTTGATCACCTCTCCTCCACCAGACAATTTTAACTTTGACATCTCTGGATCATTCATTCTCTTTAAACCTTTTTCTTCTCCTCCCAGCCTTCTGTTCCCCATCCTCCCCCTCTTCCTACCTGCAGAAACAAAGAGAATGCCAGCGCTGAGGATGATGTTGTGGCGTGACTTGTAGAATTCGCTGGCTGCAATGCAAAGCCCCCCCATGAAGAGCAGGATCACGCTCATGATGGGGAAGATACTGGAGGCTCGTACGGCACCTGAAAATACACAATAGACAAAAACAGCTGTGAACGCTGCAAGTGTAGCACAGACGGGATTATTGCAAACAGAATGACAACCAAATGAAAATTACAGTGAAACAGATAAAGTTTCAGGTTCATTAGATTAATGAAAATTTCATTTTTTGCATTTTGTGTTTGTGCGGAGGGGTGGCACGGTGGAGTAGTTGGTAGAGCTGTAACCTCTCAGTGAGAAGGGTGCTGGATCGAATCCCAGCCGAGGACCTTTCTGGGTGGAGTTTGCATGTTCTCTCCGTGTATGTGTGGGTTACAGACTGAAACATTCATGTAAGGCTGATTGGTAACTCTACATTACCCCAAGGTGTAAGTGAGAGTGTGAATTGTTTGTCTTTTTATGGCCCTGTGATGGACTAGTGACCTGTCCAGGTCCTCTCGCACAGTGACTGCTGGACTGGAGGGACACCAGTGACCTCTGTGACCCGAAAAGGATGAAACAAGTAAAAGATAATGGAGGCAGGAGTGGTAGTGGGATAAACAAAACACATAAAGGGAACCAATAAAAATTGCCTTTGATTGTGTTATGTAACATTAATATTGCCCCACTCCCCTCAGGAAGGAGGTTAAGGAGCATTAAGTGTAGAACCACTAGACTGAGGAACAGCTTCTACCCTGAGGCTGTTAGACTCATGAATATCTAACTAGAATAATCACTGTGAAAAACCATATCATGTTGCTGCTGATCTGTTTCATGTTGCTGCTGATCTGTTTCAATGTTGATGTGTTCATGCGTGCACATCTGCTCACATACTCATGTTCATGTTTGTGCTGATGTTCAATGTTTTATGTTATGAGTGCTTAGTGTATATTTAGTTGATGTTTTTCTTAGTTCATATCTTAGATGTTATTACTGTTTTTCTTAGACATTTTATTGTTGGATGTAACTGGGACCCCGTGTACATAATTTCGCTCCACCACATGTACCACATGAGGTGCGAATGACAATAAAGAAACTCTGACTCTGACTCTGACTCTGAATATTCTGTAAAGGCCTAATAGAGCATTATGCTTATTTATTTCTCTTGCAATTCTATCTCCTGTCTTTTCCGTCGTGCTTTCTTGTAATGGACAAAGTTTTGCCTTTGTTGGGTTTTGAGTCGCAAGACCCAGAAATGCAAAGTAATGCTAAGACACTCGAATAAAGCTGTCACAAGAAAAAACACAAAGGAACAAAACTAAACACAAAGAAGGAAAAATAGACAAACCTAATGATGAACACAGATTAACAACACCCCCACCACCACCACCAACACCACCTCTCCCCAAAAAACTCAGATTCTGACAGTCTTAATCTACGAGTTTCCACTTAATCCTTCTATTGTTCCTCCTCTGTCCGTCTGTGTCCTTCTACTCTCCCTGCTATCACTTTGTCCATCTGTCTATCTTGTTTTGGGTTGACTGATGTGTAGCAGATTGGCTGCAGACTGTTTTTTTTTTTTTTTTTTTTAATCTTCTGGCTCTTTTTCAGCAAATGCAATTTGCTGCATACAAATGCCAGACAGCGTTTAACCTTCTGGATCAGCATCTCCAAATCTGAAGCCTTGGTCCTCAGTCAGATAAAAAGTGGATTGCCCTCTCCAAGTTGGGAGTGAGATGTTGCCTCAAATTGAAGAGTTCAAATATCTCAGGGTTTTGTTGACGAGTGAGGAAAGAATGGAGCGTGAGATGGACAGACAGCTTGGTGCAGCTTCCACAGTATTGTGGACTCGGAGCTGGTCTGTTGTGGTGAAGAAAGAGCTGAGCTGCAAGGTGAAGATCTTTGTTTACTGGTTGATCCACATTCCTACCTTTCGATAGTCTACTGGTTTTGCTGGACTGATTCTTAACAATCTTAAAAAACATAAATTAAATATGTTTCTTTTCAAAATCATACTTATGTGAATTTTTGTATTGTATCTGGTAAAAGCTATGGTGGAAAAAATTATTTTGAAAAAAATATTTTGTTTGGGATACTTGTGTCATTTTTTGTGAATTAATTAATAAACTGAACTGAGACCACAAGGTTTATTATATTAAACTTGATAAAGGACATAATTGTTCTTAATGACCCAGTAAATTTAAATTAGTTGTTAAATGAAGTGTTCACTCGACAACTAATTTAAAATGAGTTCAACCAACATAGACAGAAAACCAAACCTTTAAAACAACGCACAGCTGTAAAAAGAGACCAACAGAGTTGTTTTATATAAGAACCTGTAAATAATGAAAAATGGAGTAAAAATGATTTTGCCCAGCAACAGCAACATGTAACTTTGAACAAGAAAAACTTAATTCTCAATAAAATAAAGTTGTTTTTTTTTAAGTAAAATTATTACAAACCTTATTTTATTTAATTCAACAACTATTTTTTTCGTGTTAGATTTGCATACAATTAAAATTAAGTAAGGAATCCACCTTTTACAATCTGCAGTTTTCCTGCTGAACATTAGTTGTGAACACATTTAACTTAAGAAAGTGGTTTAGATTATGTAGTTAAATTATCGGCCTATCTGTTTGTGTAACTGTGGAGCATGTGTGCATAAAGAAAAGATGCAGTCTTAGTGTTTGTCAGACAAAAGACAAATATATCTTTCACTTGTGGAATAATGAAAATCTGATTTATCTGAAATACAAATGCCTTACTTTAACTTTGTAATTTGATTGGTCAATTCAGCATACAATGTTGGATGAATGAGAGCAACACGAAAATAAGCAAAACTGAAAAATAATAATAATGAGTGGAAAAAAAGCCTGATGGTGTCACAAAGTCTCCAAAAGTTAGTCCAGACTTACAAGTATTTATCTTTTAAATGGTTTTCAAAATAAGTGCGCATTAAGCATTTTCACAGTTCTGTGGAATGTCGCTAGTGCACCAAGAATATTTTTAAGTGTTTTAATGAGATAAGGAGACAATTAGCATTCCAGTTAATTGCACATGAAGCATGAATAATAAATGTACTCTGCTAACCAAGCCTCCCGCCAGCTGCCAACGTTATGCTTCACTTGCTTTTCCAAATATGGACACTTCTGGCTACAATATGACAAGACATCAGCTAAATGTAATCTTTCGAAACCACAGTTTGCACACTTGTGTGACAGCAGGGTACATTTATCTGTCAACGCCATAGTTCCACAAAGTGGTGTCCAAACTAAAATGTGAAGCAACAGTGAATTCATAGTTTGTACACTGTCATTTTTTTACACCCTTAAAAAGCTTTTTTTAATATATATATATATATAGAATGTCTTATGGACATGCCTGTGGGATCTTTCACTTATGAACCAGGGAAGCCAGAATTAAACTTTTCAACTGGCAGACCTTTTTATCTAGATCTGAACACACCCTGAAGTCAAATAGCCTGTACTGCCTTGCCCAAGGTTGTCTCATTATTATATCTTCTTTTGATAACTGTGGCTAATGTCAATAACTCCATCTTTTTCATTTTATGCTGCATTTTTTTCCATTTTAAATCCATTTTGCCTCTTTGGAACAGCTGGACTCTGATATTTTCATTCACTCAAGTAAATCAAATATCAAGGTGACCTCAAAGTTGGGCCTGTTCCAGTATTTTTTTTTCTGTCCTCCTCTTCAGCTTTTTTCTAAACCTCATCTCCTTATCTATATTGAATGTGGCTTCCAGTCAAATTCTGTTCAAGGTGGTTAGCCCCAAGTTCTGCATTTAGGGACATTTTCATCTTTTTCAAAGCAAAAATAAGTCCTACTGCGCTCACTATAACTATGGTTCACTTAATTGGTCTTTCACAGTGATGCACATACGTTTCTGTCACGCTCAATCAGTCACGCTACACAAAATAAAGTGGACATTATACACTATATCCCAGTGGCACAGTTAGATCAGTAATCTTACTTTTATTGATGATTTGCTAAACCTGGCCTGCCTTAGTCACCACTGTGACAGCTGTCTTGATTTAAACCTTTGAAGAACAAAATGTGAACATTGAACGACAGTTTCCAAAGAATCAGTAAACCTTTCTTTTAAACCAAAAGGGCAACTAATAACAACACTGGTCTTGACAAGATGGTAGTACAGTATGTAAAGCTAGCAGTTTATGACACTGTATGACAAAATTTTTCAAATGAACTTTCTTTCTTTATCCTGTAAATGTATGTATAT